GTCTTCAAATTTGAAGCCAGTGAATATTTCATAGACAAAAAATAAGAAAAAGAAAGCTACATCTAAGTTTAACTCATCTAAAGAAACATATAATTGCTCTAAAAACATAAAACATTTTTTTTTAAAAAAAAGAGAAATACTTTAAACTTTGCAAACCCTTTATTAAGCTAAAATTAAGGCATAACTTATTCATGCACAATCTCGGGTGAGCTACCCTAGCTACAAGGTAGGATCATAAGTCCACTTGGTGAATTTCACCTTTCTCCCCACAAGAACTGAAGTTGGAAGAGAATGATAATTATTTAAAAAATATCCAAGTAATAAAATTCAACCAAATTTCAAATGAAAAACGATTTTAATTGATTCTCTTGGTTGAATAAAACAAACTAATATTATTATAGACTACGAATCAAATAGTTATAGATTTCAAAAAAAAGTTTTTATTTTATATTTACATAAGGTCTTCAACACCTTTTGCCAAAAAAAAAAATCAATTTTAAAATACAAACTTTTCAAGCCACTTTCTCTATAAGGCGAATCATGAACAGTCCAATCCTCTACAAATAAAAAATATAATCAATAAGGTCTATATTATGACAAATATTTTAGCAAATGCAAGTAAAATAAACCATAAACTCGATCCTTTCTAAATAGACGATCAAAATTGACAAGGTTCCAAACAATAGGCGATCAAAATTAACAAAGTTCCGAACAATCAGGTTCACATTACTATACTTTTATGATGTGCTTGGTCTATTGAATATCATAACTAAAGAAGTTCTCTTTCAAAATAAAATGCTCAATTTCAAAATGAAAATGCCGTGAACATTAGTGTACCCCAATGTTTGTTGAAATGAAAGAGAATTTCAACTCGAAGACATACTATCAACAAGATATCCCGTACCCTAAAGAAAATCACTGCAGGCTTTAATTTCAAATAGTATATATTTTACAAAATAGAAAAACATCTAAACAAAATGTATTATCCTAAGCTAAGATCAATATTCATTCATCCTTTGCAACAATTTGATTAAAATAACAAAGTTAAAATGACCTTAACTAACAAAAAGATAATATTCTATCAAACATACATCTATAATCACACTTCATGCCAATAAGAACTTAAAGCATGCTCTCTAATAGGGTGATTTTGTTGTTAAATAGCACCACAAAAAATATGGCTACAATTGAGAGCCAAGAATAGGGCGATTCAGCACAAATTACCCGTATTAAACTACAACTATGGCCAAAGCCCGCTAGTTCTCTAATAACTTAAATCTCTTAATAGTGAATTATAAAGTGTACTTAATAGATTAAAAAGCCCATTGTTAACTAAATCAATTTGAAATTGACCTCATAGACAAATAAACACCCTAAATCTACAAGTTCTCCTAAACATCACAATCCATGGCTACAAACAACGATTTTGTGGCCAAGACGCATTTACTATCTCCTATAAATAAGTTGACTTTTATGCACAATAACTCAAAATACCATAACCATAGGTTCTTAATCAAGATCGTAATCATTCCCCACACCATTTGCTCTTAGCAGCCAACAATAAATTTCCCATAATCTAAAACCAATCAACTATTACTATAAGCTATGCACTTAGTGCATAAATATTAGCCCTAATAAAAAATTCTCTCTGATTATAAGAAGAGGTGACTAAATAAAGAAGCTTATATTTATCAAAATCCTACAATCAGGCCATAAGATCAGACCATAAGTTTCTCATAAAAAAATGACAGAATCTTTGAATAATATCTTATCTAAAATCTAATCAATCATTCTATAAATTTAATCCCAAATAACAAGCTCTTTTAAGAGAACAAGGTTCAATTTTTTGTAGCCCATAAATAACACAAAGCTTGTGCTTAATGAAGTGCTTGAGCTTGAGAGTATTGTTAAGCATGAGATAATGATTTCTAAATATTTTTCTATTCAGATATCTTTAGATATACCAAAATTTGCAGTCGCTCATCTCAAATCTTTTTTAAGATTCCTATTCCAAACCAAGTGCCACACGTATGCTAATTCAAATGATGGCAATTTGCTTCAACTAAAGCTATTAAAGATTGAATTTGAGAAGTAATTGCCACATTTATCATCTAATTCATTGTAAGTCCACGCCACAAAAATCTTATAGATTTATAAATAATCCACGCTACAAAAATCTTATAGATTTATAAAGTTGAAAGCCACCAAGCTACTAAGCCTCAAAATTTTTGAGTGTTTATTAGATATCTTTGTGCTATAATTTTATGTAGTACATGAATGCTTCTTTCATAAGATAATCCCATTAATGTCACTTCATCCTCCATAGACTCAAGTCACTCCCTCTTTAGAGAGTTCTTTATTGGTGAGTGAATTGATGCAATAAAAATTAGCTAATCCCTAGAAATGGAAAATTTTTCATATGCTAATCATCAGAAAATAAATAGGCCTAGAAAAGAGCTAAACCAAACCAATTTTGGCACTTTCTAGAATTATATTTAACTATTGGCAAATTTCTTATTTTATTTTGTTTATTACGTTTAATTATAGTACTTGGATAAAATTATTTTTTAATAATTGTGCAGGCATGGAATTGGCCCTAGAATAAAATTTGATTGCAACAAAACATGGCCTTATCCATGTAATCATATTTCTTTATATAGGAAAGTAAGAATTAATACTTGTAATTGATAAATAATAAGTAATGAATGAAACTTGATTACTTGTGAAATTAATCAAATGCTCCTAAAATCTAAGTTGTGTATGTGGATTGCTCTAAGTTATATACTTGATTTACTTCTCCCTCTTCATCCAAAGCCTATTCTAGAAAACAAAAATGTCGAACAAAGTTGAGTATTAAAAAGCTCTTTCCTACAAAGATAAAATGGGTGAGGAAGCACAAATTAGTTTATATGTTATGATGTGCCTAATCCACTTCTAGTTTGTAGTCTAAATACAAATTTATTTCAACCCAAAACCTTAAATTGATTGTGATGAATCTAGCTATAATTCTGAATTTCACAAAATTATCCTTATTAAAAGTTCTTATTCACCAAAACATTGGTTTATTCTTCTATATAAAAGTGATCTTAAATTTTGTTCTAGGTTTCTTGCTATGCCCATTAGTAGAAGGACCTTATAGTGAATGATGATCTACCATTGCCACCTTCCTCAATTAATTTCTTAATGAGCGCCCAATGTGTTTAACCATCACAAGGAATAAAAAATTATGAAACTTGAAATTTATTTATATCCTTTCTAACATTGTTAATTAAAAATATATTAGACTTCACTTACCACGACACATATCATGTAGAATGAAATTTTTGTTAGTTATTTTTAGAAAAATGTATGTGGAAATTATTTGGATCCACTCTTTAAGTTTTATTCTGCTCGTCAAATCCAAATTAATGGATAGGTTAAAGATGTCAATAAGAGTGTAAGATTAAATATATTTCTGACTAGTTATAGTCAAGAAAATTGGGACTTAATTCATCTTCTTCCTGAATTTGCTTCTGATAAAAGAATCATGAAAACTGCCAGCAAACACCATTTTAAATTCATAAAAAATTAACCTCAAACGGCCTATAGATCTCTGATTCCTTGCATGCATAATTTGACTTTACATTATAATATTTTTAGCTTTTGTGAAAACGTACATTTTCATGTTAAGAAACAAATTATGAAGCATGGTGAATATTATAAAACATAAGCAGATATTCATAAATGCTTTCTAGGGTATGCTTGAGATGAATAACTTTTAGTTAACATCCAATCCAAAAATGCCTTGCAAAATACTTAACAGAAAGTTACATACATAAGCTTTAGTCCCCAAATAAATTTATCCAAAAAATAGTATTTAATGCATATATACTTACTTTGACATATACCATGCATTTATCATACTTTTAAAGTGGAATATTTATTGTCATTTTGGAACCATAAGAACGTTCAATATTTCCTACATGTGTTTTTAGATGGAGGATTTAATTCTACCGCTGTTATACCAATATTTACTTTTTCATGGGTTTCTAAATTTTATTAGATAAATCAACTTGTGAATAATATTATGAAAGATTTAGTCATATTGGAATCATAAAAGCCTCCAATATTTACCACTTTTTTTCCAAAAGTAGTATTTGATTTTATCACTACTATATCAACGTTTGTTCTAACAAAAGTTCATAATTTGCGTCAGAAAAATCAACCGAGATTGATAGTATTGTAATTAGAATTTCCAGATTTCATTTCTACCATGTTTGTCGGTGGGGAAATGCACCATTGGATGACACTTAGAATGCACGTGAGGAGGTTAATCTCATTGCCAGCTAATCTTCCTGAAAATTTGAAGACTTAAACTCTCCATATGGGAGTTCATATCATCATCCGCAGTGAATAGAACACAATAAAGCATTCATCGTCAAGATCAAAATCCCACTATAACAAAGTAGAATAGAAGTTATTAGTTAGTTTTAGTCATTAATCTCTTAAATATTATTTAAATTTATTATTTTCTTTTAAATAAATGTTAAGGGCTAGCAGATCATTTGTCGAGCCATACTATTCTTATAAATAACCCAGGTATCCATCTTTTTTGACTTGATGAGTTTATTGCAGGCAAAGTTTAACTCTTCAGAAATATCAGCCAGCCCATTAATAGGTTGCCCAGGTTGTTAGGTGCTTCCTCTCATCAAAGAGTGCAAGAGAGTTGTGCGAGACAATCGATACCTTGTTTCCCGGTAAACCCCAAGCCTTCCAACCCTTCTTTCTTCACTGGTAATCACCTCCCCTCCCCTTCAATTTAAAATTCGATGCATTCCTCTTTTAACTGCAGTTTGATGTAGGAAAACCTACTCAACCCAGTAAGATTATCAATTTTTTGCTGAAAGCACGTCCAAACTTGAGACTAATATCGTTCAAATGCAGCTTAATTGAAGTATTCCTGAAGAAAGTGAAATGATCAATACAACCAAAACTAAACCGAGCCATACATAAAAAAGTACCTTTTCCAAAGAGGCAAGGCGATCAACTGTCAAGGCGTCAGTTTGCACGGCTCCACAGTCCAACAAAATCTGATAACCCAAACGCCACAGAATATCGTTAAAGAAAAACTCATCTAATTCATGCACTACAGCTACAGCTATCAACTAAATGGAATTCTTTTCGCTAACATTTCGTATTTTTAGATTTGAAGACTTTATCTGGCTCCTGAAAACAAAGTCCGGGGCACCAGTAACCACGTTAACCTCATGCCCTGCTTCAATCAGATGCCTCGCAATCTGCTTCAAAACAAAAAAGAAAAATTAGGAAATCAATTAAACACTTCTCTAGAGACAAAACAGAAACTAATGAATTTAAATCTTCAAAATCAATTATAAACGCATTTTTCGGCTTAAGATTTCACAGCCTAATCGATTTAAAGAATAAGATAACAAAGCAGACGGCTCCTACCTCGACAACGCGGGTGGCGTGGCCGAATCCGTGGCCAGTAACGTAGTAGGCGAAAACGAGTCGCCGCGCAGGAAGAGAAACACCGCCGGCCTCCGCATTTTCTATCCCCATTATCTCCAGAATCCTTAAGAGTGAACAGACAAAGGAGATAAGGGAGAGGGAAGAGAATGAAAGCCCCTAGAAACGACGATCGATCGTAATTGTTATGCAGTCCTTCAACGGATCCATAATTCACCGAATGGAGCAGCGGAAGCAGTTTATCTTGCCTCCATGTTTATCCTTGCTGGGGCAGCAAAGAAATCGAGACTGATGATGAGTGACGAATTAGAGAAGACGGGAGCCGAACTTCGGCAAGCTGATTGTTCACTTGTTGCAATCTGGTGCGCTGAAATTATGATCCATCGAAAAGGACAAGAGATGATTACACGAATCCAGCGTCGTCCGAAGAAAACGGGAAAAACAGTTTTCGTGGTCGCCATGCTTATCCTTTACCGAAGAAGCGATAATTCCAAGTGCGAGTTTGGCAGCATGCTATTAAGAGAGCATTTAGTTTTCAATTTAACTTAAATTCAGCTAAATATCAAAAAAACTCAAAATAAAATTAAAATTTAGCCTTCCATTGAATTGAATTTTGGCACTCTACTTTTATTTTTATTATCTCTATCTCATTGTGTCACATTTTGGACATAAATTTAGATTTAACAAATTCAATTATCGGATAGATTCTATTGCACCTAGATTTTTGTAAATTCAGTTTTATCGAATTTGATAAATCCTATTTAATGTAAATATGAAATGCGGCCAAACACAGACTATGATTTATGTGAAATAGAATTTAGTATATTAGATAAATCTAAATTTATCAAATCCAAAATTTGTAAATATAGAATATTTTTTGTTCAATTTAAAGTTAAGTTCATTCAATTTGTTTTATCGTGTTAGGCATAAATTTGCTCCTTTAACTTTCTTCCTGAGCTAAATATGTTAAATCCACATTATAATCAAATGTAATAAATGTGAGGTTTATGTTCAAAAAGTAATGAAAGAGAAAAAAATTGAATTTAGTGAAGCACAAATTTAATTTCTGATACATTTTTTTGTTTGGCTAGATTTACGTTGAGTTAAGAGTAAATCCTACTCAAATTCCCCGCCTAACGACTGTCAAGAGATGACAAACGATGAGAATATCTGTTTCACAAGGTCTAAACAGGATCAAGACTTTTTTAATATAAATATTATCATTAGCCCAAAGCCAATAATTGGGTAATCTTACTCTGTCAACCACACAGATTGAAATGATAGCTACAATAGATACTCCTCATGATGACCTGTCCAGCTCGCTTGTACTTATTGAGCTCCTTTATTGTGCTTGCATGCATTTGTGAAGCTTCATCTTCGAGTTCATTTAAAGAGTCTTCACAGTTACCTGAACTACAGAAGAAAGAGAACCATAACACAACACGGCCTATGTATATATATGAGCCGCCTAACACTCATTACTATGTCTTTTCAACAACAGATCTAGGATAGGTCACATATAATATGAATTATAATATAGCATTTATTTATTTCTTATATTTAATGTAGCTATACTAGGGAAAGGGCACCCTATGAGGCGTATAAATAGAAAGGGAATTCTCTCTCTCTCTCTCTCTCTCTCTCTCTCTCTCTCTCTCTCTCTCTCTCTCTCTCTCTCTCTCTCTCTCTCTCTCTCTCTCTCTCTCTCTCACCATCTTCAACTCATCTTACAAGATCTCTCCTACATTGTACAAACTCATGAAAAATATGAGACCCAACATCCCAAAATGATTCAATATTTTTGAAAAGTGCAGTGAGCATGGATCTCATGCTCTAATCCAACAAGGACCTCTTTGACGTGAAGGAGAATAAAGAGAATGATGGATTGCACCTAAGAGTTTGCGTTATAGCGAATGAATGTGTTAAGAGGATACATGAAGAAGATGATAGAGAAGTGAGGCAGGATGCCTCATGAATAAAGAGAATGATGGATTGCACCTAAGAGTTTGTGTTATAGCAAATGAATGTGTTAAGAGGATACATAAAGAAGATGATAGAGAAGTGAGACAGGATGCCTCAAGGACTCAATCCAGGGATCATCCTATAATATAATCCACATGAGATCATCAGCATCAATAATACGAAGAAGAGAATCATGAAGATATTAGCCTCCAAGAGAAGGATTATTGAGAACATGGACAAGGAGAGCCTTGACACGGATGCTAGAAGAGAAAGAAAAAAAAATGTTGAATTATATGCCCCGAAAGATGATACCTCAAAAAACCTCAAATGATGAAGAAATAAGGAGAAATAAGATGAAGGTCATTGAAGAACACATTCTCGAGAGAGATTACTGAAGCTAAAGCAGCCAACAAATTCAACATCCCTTCCTTGGATTTTTATAAAGGGAGAACTAACCCTGTCGATCACGATGTTTCATTTGAATCAGTGGTATGTTTATTACAAATATACGACACCCATAAAAGTTATTCATTACTTACAATCTTGAAGGAATCAACTCTGTGCTAGTCCATTAACTTGTCAATAAGAGTTATCACATCATTCAGCGAATTCAAATAAATGTTTGTAGCTCAATTCGCTAGTGCTAAAAAATAAATAAATAACTTCAAGCTTTATTAAAGATTTGATGGGCACATTCTGAAATTTCGAGATGTTTTATCTCTTGATTCCAGTGAGAGAAGTTGGATGCTATAGATGTCAAGGCTTTCTTTGCTCACGAAATTGGTGAAGGGCCCACTGAAATGCGTCAGTTTTACGTGATTTTACTTGTATTTTACACTGCATCTTACATTTTTTTTTTACTTATTTATCACATATTTACATTTGAAAAAGTTTTTTTTTATATTGTGCATTTTACAATTGTTGAATACGAGCTGTTTGGAAAGCAAAAAATAAACATAAAGCTCTCTAAAGCGGCGTGTGACCACAACTTGAAGTGGCGTGACAATGCCCTGTGGTCGAGAGGTGCGACGCGACCATGCCAGTATACAGCATGCCCATGCCAGAATCACAATGAAGTGGCGTGACCATGCCAAAATCAAGTGTGACCACGTTGCCCAATTTAGAAGTCATGCGTGACCACACCAACGAAAAGGAAAATTATCTATGAATGAAATTCCTTTTCCAAATTCGTGGATTCAAATATAAGAATGATTTTTAGGGCTTCATGAATGGGAGGAGATGAGTGACCTGTGATGGCTAAAGGTTGAGAATAAGAGATAATGTAAGTGTTTCCCTTAAGTTTTTTCCTCTCCTTGGGTTTGAATTTTTAAAGGCTGTTATTCCACTTTGCATGCTTGTAAGTTTGAGAGAGTTTTTGTATGAGAGGAGAGGTGATGCTCATGTGGAGAGGACAAGAATTTATTGTAAGTGTAACTTTCTTTTGTATCTTGTAATGAAGATCTGCATAGATTTATCATCTGTGGTTATCTCAGTGATGCGTGGCTAAAACTTTTTTTGTCTCTATGATGTAGGGATAATTGTTTTTATCATGTTTTTTGGAGATATGTTTCTTGTAATGTTTTTCATTCTTTCATAATTTATGTTGTTGATTAACCTTTGAATTTCATAAACTCCTCGATTTCCTGGCTAGAATATTGAAATCTTTCATGAAGCTATAATCTCTAATCGTTGTGCAGTGGAAATGAAAAAGTTAATCACAAAATCTTGATATTATAGACATATTTCAGTAGGATTCTGCACTTTTTCTATGGGATCAAAGT